CCCATTGATGGACCTCTGTTTACTGTGTTCCACTGAATATGTTCCAGTGAATAAAATAAGGGTTTGTGAGATTTTCAAATCATTGCAATCTGCTTTGCATTGTTATACAACATACCATTTTTTTTGATGATTTACATGATTTAAGTTTCCTCCCTTGTGTCCTATTTCCTCCTGTCCTAAACCCARTGCCTTCACTGTAACTTGTCAGAGATCTGGAGTCCTATTCTGGGTATTAGTTGGGCTTTAAAAWGCTCAATCAGCTGACTGCTGCATGTGAACAGCTCTACCATCAGCACGGCCACTCACCACAACAGATATTAAAAAGCATCAGGAGAACCAACATAAATTGTTTTAGCATTAGAGGATTCTAAAATGGCTTGAAATTAAAAACAAATTTGACAAACTGTTTTAGCAGAAAACTTCCCTTTGAAAATCTCAACATGTAAAACTAATTTATTTACAGAACACATAATAAAATCACTGCCATCAGTTTAGTTAACATTAATGCTGTCACAAATCTGTGACTTGCGCACCAACACACACTCATTTTTAATGCTTTGTGTGTAAATTTCTTTTGCCCTATCACTTAAGTAAAAGTGGCAAGCCAATATAAAATCATAAATGTGTGAAATATATATATAGTTTGATTTTTTTTCTTCTTCTTTTGAGCAAGTTCATAGCAGTGATTTTTGCATGGCAGTAATGCATAATAAAGTGTTGACACAATGACAATTTTTGCCTATGAACTCTTTTCTCTTTCTTTCTCTATTCCAAAATGACACACTTCAATTGGCTCAGTTCGGCTCTGCACATTTATTATCTGTCATAAACGCACTGTTGACTGCCCTCCACCTATTGTCTATAATTCATCACAGAGAGCCGCCATCTGAAGCAACATAAATGCAGCCATCCGGTACCGAACCTCATAGTCATGTGCATACTAAGGAGATTTTTCCCTCCTTTTTAACTTATGCAGTATTAAAAACACCAATTAATACTTTTATTTTCATCGTTATTATAGTTGGCACATTTTAAATCACTCATTTAAGTCCAATATTTTAGATTAAACAAAAATAATCAACGGCATATGCATACTAAAATCTTGACATATACTTTTAGGATGTGATCAATATTTAATTACACCACATTTTCTCATAAAAAAAGATTATGAACTGTACATCAGTGTGTTTTATTTACAAGGTTACTT